GAGATCTACACTCTTTTCCTCATCAGCCTCTTTGCTCCTATGATGCTGGTGGGTCTGGTGTGTTCATCCAGCCCTGCACCTTGTTGTATTGAATTGAGCCCTTGGCTCAGAATACTGTGGTACATAGGCAGGACATCACAGTAGCTAAAATATTACTTTAATTGCTGACACAACTCAAGTGCATAATAAAATAATATTAAAGTTTATCAAAGTAAATGTTCCATCATTGAAAGAAATCAATTTAAACCTTTATTTGTGCCATTGGAAACCAAGAACTTTTCTTAAAGGCACTCTGTCTGTGTTCGGCTTGACCACCACAGGGAGCTGAAGTATTCTAACTCTCAGCTTTGGAATGTAGGAGTGATAAGTGGGCTGAGTTCAGCTCATTCTCTCCAGCACCAGATTTTGTGCTGGAAATGAAGATTCATTGTTTCACAATCAATCAGAAATTCCTGCCTGCACAAAGACCAATTTTCAGACAAAGCAACAAAAGGCAGGAGAAAACTCTCAAGAGCTGTATTTACTCCCTGGGAGAAATGGTGGATGTTGTTGTTTTGCTGAAGGGTCAATTAGCTCCATTATCAGAGTCGGAAGCATGCAGTGACTGAAAGCATCAAGTCCTATTGTTCACATCACCAGCCAGTCTCCAGGCAATTTCCTTCTCCTATCAATAACTGTGGGAGGAGTGTCTCTGGCAAAATGAATGAGACAGTCAAATTAGCCAGAAATGTTTGTCTGTTTTAAAACTCTTCATTTAATATTCATCGTATAAAATATTTCAGATAATGAAGTCATGAATAATGTATATATATTAATTAAAATATTCAGATTACTATTCGGAATGAAGTCTGAGTTAGAACGTCCAAATCAGCACATGGCTTTTCTAGTTCCCAAAAATTTGTTCATGATAGCAGTTTCTCTTTATAAGTTAACAATGGTCTAACTAAATTCCATATTTGTATAAACATAGCTCTCTCGGACATTAGAGCTTTTTTTTCTAGCACCTCCTAACCCTATAAGAAGAAGAGCCTAACCTTTCCAAGTAGAATTATTTTAATGCTGGCATTAATCTTTTCCAAAGAATACCCATGGGAGAATCCAGACTATTGTTTATTAAACTAGTGACTGGGAAGTGTGAGAAAAACCTACGGTGATTTGCACTGACTTCCCTTCACAATGGGTGGATCCTGCCATCTCTCTCTGCAACTCTCTCTATCAGCACAGCTAAAAGCAGAAACACATCCCATTAGGAATCAGGGATGTAAAACTACATCCTACTTCTCAACCCAAGTTAAAGGAGTGACAAAAACTGCAGATAAAAGGCAGAGCACCAGGAACAAAAGCAGAGATACAGCAGATATTTAGACAAGGGAAATAAAAGGTAATCCAATTCAAAGAAGGAAGAAATATATTTTACATATTTTATAGCATCAAAACAATGTTA